TCTTATTACTTCTTGAGTTTTCTGCAGCAGACAGTTGTCTTACTTCACATTGCATGTTTTGTGAGCAAATGTGAATAGGAGCAGGCAGGGAGGGATGTAGCTGTCAAGCTTGCTAAGATTTGGTATACATTTCACACATATTTCGAACTGTTGCATTCTTATTAAAGGGTGTTTTCTCTCAGAAGCTCCAAATATTTACGTCATTCATATGAAAATATACGTACAACATCGCTTAGAAGATGACTACTAACTAAAATAGATTGAGAACAGCGTGCAACCTTGCTCAGAAGGCTTTCCTACACACATCAAATAGCTAAAGTATGGTTTAAACGTGAGCGAATAAAGATCAAGAGTCTTATACTGTAAGCAATAATTTCGTGCATTTTTACAAGCATGAAATTATTACAGTACGAGATTTTGGATCTTCATTTGTTATTATTGCATTATAAAATTATCATAGTGCATCACAAAAATTCAACTGTGAATTTCTGATATTTTTTCCAGTTTAATAAATATTATATATTCTGACGATTTGGTGCCCAAGACCAATATCATATTTTCTTATTATATTTTCCACCACATTTTTTCTGTCAATTATTACTTTACACATGTTTGCAGTACTAAAGGTGCTTCAAAATTATCAAATTTTCTGAAACATTTTATCACACAGCTCACCTATCCAAATACACATATCTGCATACTCATTCATGCAGTTTTATTCACGCATTGTTACACCATATTTTCTAATTTATACATGGTCGAGGAATAGAGATTATAGCTAGTTCTAGTCCTCAATTTGATAACCAAGCGCGCGAAAATATTTTATTGACACATGTAACAAGCATGATCGAAATATATTTTCAAGTATGAGAAAATGTTATCAGAATTTCTGCATTTCTAGCTTCTCCTCATTCCTGCGATGCCTGAAAATGCAGATGATGCGAATGCTCAGATAAATTGATACAAACCTCGGTCTCTATTCGCTAAGAATGATAAAGTTACCATTCAGTCTCTTTTTTTTACCGCTCAGTTTCATTCACGGCATTTGCAAGATTCACTCCGAAAACACAGGAAATAGTGTAGAAGGAACTAGGCTTTTGCAGGATGAAGGGAGAGGTATAGAGGTCGAGTGCATGTGTAGTCCCCACTTAATGAATGTGTAGTTTAGTATGTATGTGTAGTCCTGTATAAATGTGTAGTCCCGTATGTGTGATGACTATTTACCAGGCTGTTGTTGCTGATCAAAAAGTACTGGAAAACAGTTTCTGGCTCTTATAATACATGGAAAAGTTCCACAACAGTTTTCAGGAACATTTTTGGCAGGTTGGTCATGGTTCCTAGAAACTGTTCAGTTATCAAAATTCATCTCTATTTACAGTAATTTCTTCATACCTCCTCATTTTTAGATTCAAAATATCTGTTTTTTAGAAAATTATTCAGAGTTATTCGATTATATTGTATATTTTTGATCTAGTCATTTCATGCTTATAAAAAAAGTACATTTGAAGAATGTAAATTTTTGTAATCTCAGCATGTTCTGGCATGCTATTCAATTTAAGAAAAGAATGATTAGATTGCTAACTAGTAGCTTTTCTAAAGTATCTCTGGTTTGTGAAAAGCAGTCACATCAAAAGGTCATTGTTGAGGAGTATTTAAAATCTGCATATTCACCAAAAATGCTATTTTCGTTAGGCTTTTATTAATTTTTATTAATAATTTTTATTAATAGATTCACTAAAATTAATAAATTGGTTGTTTTGAAAAAACTCATCTGTCTCAATCAAAGGTAATATCGTAAATAATTCAAAGTACGAATTACTGCATGTGACTTGTCAATAAACTTTCAAACTTTGCTCTAATTTTACGATTATTTGAAAATATTCAAGCAGTTGTTTTGTTTTATTTTTTTTGGAAGTGATTGATGAATTGAAAACTGGTTCTTGAAAATGTTGAAAGATGACTTTCTAATACGTTTTTATGGAAAGACCAGTAGTTAATAATCAAAGTTATTTTGAAAGCATAAGCCTTGATAAATGCTTGACTGAGACTGGCAGGTTCCTCATATTAGGTAAACTTCATTGAACATTGATATAATAAAAATATGATTAATTTTGCAAATAATTTTACGGATTCAAGTTTAGAAAATTTTAGATAATTTTATCAACATAAGCAAGATTGATTTGATGAATTAAAAAATGTTGCTATTAGAAATATTTAGTTCAAAAAATCTTCAGGTTTTATTGTTCGCAAAAATTTATTTCCTCTGCTCATTTATTACTGATAATCACTGATATTCAGTGAATTTATTTGTCTCCGATTTTCTCAAGTTATAAACATTATTTGAGATTTATTAACATTTTTATAGGTGAAGTTTTTGCATATTTTTGACTATGGTATTGTCATCAATTGTCTTATGTCTTTTACTGACAACGCAAGAAGCTTTCTCACCATTTATCGCTTACGCTGGTTTTCGGCGTACGCCATACTATCCTAACAGTCCACACGCACCATATTATGGTCCCCCTCTCCCTCCTCCTCGTCCCCCACTTTATCCTATTTTTCGTTTCAAAAAATCTCCACCTTTAAGCTCAATCCCTTTATTTCGGTCTGATAAATCATTTTTGAATCACAATCAAGGCCTGCAGTCTGTTTCCACTAATATTCTTGAATCTAGTGATCCTCATTTTGGTAAAAATAGTGGCTCAAAATCCACATTTACAAGTGAACATGAAATGAATAGTCTGATTTTCAATAAAAATGGTGCATTCGGCGCAAAAAAAGTTGATTCAAAGTTGAAAAGCATCTCCAGCAGTCAAACCATTAGCAACCTCAATAACAAGTAAGCTAATGGTGTTTATATTACATATTTGAAACTTTCAACTACTTCAGTTACTATTTGCTTCAGTTATTATTTTTACCACAATGATAAATAAATATTTACAGGCGAATAAGTCAAGTGTCACCAGTTGTACCTGATTCATTCCGTTCTTTGGTTCAACAATTTCATGATAAATAGCACTTTTTCTCCGTTATTTGATTATCATAAATATGGATTAGTTCATAAAGTTTTTGAATAAATGTCATATAAAAAAGATTAAATATTACGACTCAATCTCAATTCAATAAAAACTAAGTTAAGAATTAACATTAAGAATTATGATTGCACAACAAAATGGAACTGTTTTTAACTTTTTTGAATATTCAATTCTCGCCACAGTTAGTCATGTGTAATGTTTAAACCTTCAAAAAAAGAAACAGTAGAATCTAAATGAGTTTTTGGTATCTTCAACTACTGCATTACTTTTCTCAATTTCAATGATTATTGGTCTGTTTATTTTATGTTCTTATACTTTTTTTACAATTTAAAATATTTAGTGTGAAGCAAAATTAAATCAAAGTGATGCTAATGAAGATGCATCAAAATTCATGAAACTTCAAAATATGACCAATCCAAGATCATTACTTTCCTCTGATTTTCTTAATCTGTGATATTTTTATATTCTTTTCCAAAATCATGCTTTAAACAGTTTCATTCTTAAATGAAAAACTTTCTAAACATCTCAATTTATTAATGCATATATTACGCTCTGTGAAAAAATTTCATTTTATTTCGCTTATTCATTTCGTACAAATGGATGTATTATATGCGTTGCAGAAGCGAAGTGAATACACGTGATGACTGACTGTGAAGAAAAATTTTTTTCTTAATGCAATTTGTTTTATTTCCTACAATTTTCTGTAGTATTATCAAATATATGCAATAAAATGACCTGACAAAAGACTTCAATCAGATCGTTTGACAATAAAACGTCACTAAAAATGTTAGTCAATTTTCATTATGCATTTTCATGGCATAAATTTAAACTGTAGCTCTATTTTTCTTATTAAATGCAAGTTTTTCTATTTTCATACGAATTTCCACTTTTTTCCGCTGCTAAAACTTGGCGTTGTTTGAGCACAACATAAAGCATCGTTAAAAAACATAATAAACAAAACAAGAATATTGTGGTACCAAACAGTAAAAACTTATTCAATCTAGTCAGGCAAATCTCGACGATTGCTGATTTCTCTCCAATTCCTTGAAAATAAGGACAATTCTTCATAAGATTTTAATGTTAAAGAACTGAAACAATGTAACTTTGAAAGTGCAAAAATCATGAATTTAATAGTAAGAAAATCACAAATATTTGGATAAAAATGATCGATTAATTTTTAAAATAATGTTTTCGATTGTCAATTTCATTTCATAGAAACTGGCCTCAATTTCCCACTACATATATTTTTAAATTGTAATTGAGTCCCTTAAAATTTAAATATAATTATATTACGACATTGTTATTCATCAAAAGCAATAATAAAAATGTTTCACCTTGTTTGTTCGTTGAAAATCCACTTGAAGGTTGATTTTCAGTCATTGGGAATACCATAACACGTGCTGTTAGATCTGTTTCAGCATATTGCTTAATATTTGACTCATTGACGGGATTTAATTCGTGAACAAAGTTGTGACTGGCACGTATTTGTCTTTTTACCGATAAATCATGTGGTGACTTGCTGCCTTTTAAAAAGCTGAAATTTTTGTTTTTGAGATTTCTGAAAATCGAAAAAGTCCGTTTAAAATATCAAGTATTTGACAAACACTTACTCAAATTCTGGTGGTATCGTTGGTGGTTTAGGTGGAAGTGGTGGTGTGAAATGCAAATTTCTGCTTATTTCTTCACGTATCGTATCAATTGGTCCAAAAAATTGCTTTCCTATCTCATTGCATAACCATTAATTTATTTTCACGTTAGTTTTGAAATATAAATTAGAAATAAAGCTCTGTGATAACATTTAAATTAAATTAGTAATCACAATAATTTTGATTAAATTATTAAAATTATTGTGATTACATGAAGTTTTGGAGGGAAAATAATTTATGAAAGTAATACAAAGATTAATAAATATTTTAATGAAAGAAGAACTGTATTCTTAGATGAATTTGCCCTGTAACTACTTAGTTTCAATCTGAAATGCAGAAAGCATAATGACACAAGGATAAGATGCAGTGATTTGGGTTTTAGAGTAAACGAAGAAATCATTTAGAAAATAATAATTAATTAAATTGCATTAGCATCAAAACTTTGCACAACACAGACTGTCAAGCATTTTGAACAGTTTTGGAAATTTGCATTTAAATAAAGCTTGTTGATGCTAAATTTTTATAGATCATTGACAAGTTTATTGCATATTGTTTTGTTACTTTACTTACTTCTGGCATCAAAAATTTTAGTATGCAAATTTTACTATTAACAAAGTATAAATAATAACCTTCATCCTGTTTCAAGGGGTCATCGCGATGATCACGATCCAATGAAGGAAATTCTGCAACTGACCGCAGAGGGTATTTTGTACTTCCACAAATTGGTGGCTTGAAAGAATATATGAATAAATTTTTCTAGTATTTAAGGGCTTCAGTGTGAAGAAACAAATATTACTGCAAAAAATAATTTGAATACCAGTGACGCACAATGTAATGATAAATATACTAATACTCATAAAATAGAATTTTAACGTGGCTATCTAATTTTATAATTGTAAATTCTATTCTCTTATACGAATTGAGAATATTTGCAAGTTTTAGCTTTGTTTTGTAATCTCAATAAAATTTGCGTATTTTTTCTACTGTTCAAACTTTTTCTTGACTTTAAGCATACTAGTTTTTTAAATTTGCAAATTTTGCCCTTTTATGAAGTCGCTTTTATAATTAAAAAAACAAATTCATTTGGATTCTGAGCTTGAAGATAAGAAAGAAATATTATAAGTTAATTTAATCCCAAATTTTTATGAATTTTACAAATTTTGAGCCATACTACGCTTTTTAATTATTACGAAAAAATAAAATCTTCAGCTAAAAATAATAATCACTTACGGTTATACCATCACAACCACCATCTCCCTTAAAACACAATTGTATTGTACATGTAAAATAAAGCTGAACTTTATCAGAATATTTAAAAACTCGTGTTTCTGCATAAGCCGTTATTGTTTGGTCATCGTATTCAACGTCAGATAGCAACAAAGGATCCACCACACATCTAAATTATTTCTGACATGAAATTTTTGTTAATATCAGACACAATTTAACTAAAAAGCATGTAGTTTTACTTTTAAATTTTCCAAAAATGAAAATTCTTCATAACACAAATAATTTAATTTAAGAAATTAATGAAGGTAGTTGGAGTTTAATGCATTAAAATGATAGATGAGAAACTTGCATACTTAATTGTAATTTTAAAATAACATAAAATAACATATAAATCTCTGAAAAATAAAACAAACCCCTTATTATCAATTATTGCAACTTGCATTCCTTGGCCATCATCGACATGACATGAATGAATTAATATACCATATATGGCACTAGCTGCTGAAATCCTACTAATCTTTGCTAAATTATTTGATAAAAAATATACAATAATTTCTTTCTCCAATCTATCATTTTTAAATATTGCAGACACTTCTTCTTAACAGTATTAAAATTACACTATTTTAGCTTGTTAAACTTTTGTAATTTTAGATAAAAATTAAAATATTTCAGTTTTGGAATTGAAACTTACATAAATCACAATGCCATACGTGCCATACACGATCGCCAATATGAGCAAACTTTACGTGTGGTCCATCACGGCCTTCACGTATTTCATACGCACAAGATGGCAAAGTGAATTCTTGCTCAACTATTTGCGTCGTCAACTGACTGAATTTTATCAGATTACTCAAATCCCTTTTTCTGCCGTACATTTGCCTGCAGTGGCAGACAAAAAGTCAGCCAGCCTGCCTTACCTTGCAAATTTTCCATTTTCTTTTCCAATTTTTCATTATTCAAAAATTTATAATTCTTTCAGTAAGAAGTGTTCTTTTGGCATTGCTGTAGCCACACACAACAATACAAAAATTCTGCTAGAACTCACAGTAGTCAAATATCTTACATTCTGTGCATTACTCAGAGCTCAAATGAACTTATGAATTTGCAAAATGTTTTCTCCAAATGAAAATTAAGCAATAAGTGATAACATTTTTACGAGAACTGGAAAAATAAAAAGGAATTTTTTTCCTGAAAATAAAAATTCGAGCTTAATCATTACTTTATTTTTGACACAAATAGTAATATCAATTCGTATTATAATTGTATTAATAATTCGATGCGAGACAACTTTTCAGTCCACATTCCATTCTCGGCTTTACCTTCTTGGTGGCCATGAACAGTCAATAATTTTTTTCTGATAAAAAATTGACTGGTTGATAATAATATATTAAAAATTTTATCGGTGACTATGAGTTTAAACCTACATGGCGGTAAGAAAAACTTGTTATTTCTTTTTAATTTACTGTAATTTTAGAGCTAACAAATTCGATTACCTTACATCCATTGTGGCTTCAAGTGTTTTCACAGATTCACTAAAGAAGCACCGAATACGATATGCTCGATCAACTTCAGTTTCAAATATCTTAAAAAATATATAATTTCACAATATTAATATTTAATTTTTTTTGCAAAATTAATAGTCTTTCGTAATTTTTGCTTAGTAAATTTTGTGATAATACGCGCCATTTCATGCAAATTATTATTACGTTTCTTTTGACATGATTTAATTCCTTCTCTTACAGTAAATCTCAATATTATTCCTTGAAATTAAACTATTAACCCACCGGATGGAATGACACAATGAGGGCAAAAGTGTAGGCAACTCCACGAGGACTTAGCTGAAAATTTTAAGAATAAATTTTATTATTATCATACAAAAGAATCTTTATTTATGCTGTTTAAAATCAACAATTACATATCAATTAAGAATATTCTTTCGGGCAAGAACCATTCTGAAATTTAGTGTGACAAAATTTTAAATGAATATTAAATCTTTTTTCTATCTCAATTTCGAATATCTCATGAATTGCCATCAACAATTTGTGTAAAAAAAGCTGTGTTCTCAAGTGAACTTTTTTGCAACAGTTTTTTTTATAAAAATGATAGGTAAAAGTGTAGAAAAAATTTTGTCCATCACACGCAAAGTGCTTAAAATCACATTTGATACAATACGTATGAGCACCCCTTTCCTACGCAAAAAACATTGAAGAAAAATGTTTTTGAATTAATTATTTCACATAATGTGCTTTGTTCTGTAACGATATCAGGAAGGTATTGTGGTACAAATAAATGTTCAGTTCTTGACATTATCATACGAAAAAAGGTTATATCTATTTATACTACCGTGCGTTCACGTCGCATATTACACTCTCCAAATTTTAACGAAAATCGCAAAGTTTGATCTTTAGTTGCAGTAGCATAAGATTGCTGTTCATTATCATGATAAGCTACTACACAATTTGGATCATTACTTTCGCCCTGAAATAGAGAAAAAATAACACAACATTTGATAGGTTAAATCATTTCTTTCAAAGTATTTCTGCACTAGTTTTGGCTTGTGAAATTCTAGAAATTATCACAAAAGCTAGATCAGAATTTTGCAAATTGTTTTCGGTTTCTTCGCAGATTTTTGCTTTATTGACCTTTGAACTTACAAAGGTAAATGGTTGTGTGAAAATAGCAGAAAATCTTTGATGCCGCATTACAATAAACTTTCGAAAGTCCAGAAGTAAACAAAAGAATAAAAGTGAATAATATTCTGTTAATAACATTGAAATTGGTTAATGCAAACTATGCAAAGGAAATTAACTCTAATAATTACAGTTTATAATTTAGCTCTTCACTTTCAAATAGCTGAAGTCCTCTTATTTTCGATTAAAGTTTTATACCGTAGAGTACTCTTTACGTTTCATTGATATTTTCTTACAAAATGTATAAATAATTAATAATGCTAAGCAATTTATCTTTACTTCGGTCTTTCAGTCAAAATAATAAGTGACATTACCTGAATATATAAGCGTCCAAAAAACGGATTCTCAGTGGTTACATCAACTGTAATACTTTCCAAACCACAGTCTACATCAGGTTCCCCAACAACACTATTTTCAATAATTCTATTACTATATGTATTGTGCCAATATATCTGGAAATCAGTCCGTTGTGGTCTAGTGGTTAGGATTTGCGGCTCTCACCCGCAAGGCCCGGGTTCGATTCCCGGCAACGGAAAATCTTTGTGTCACTGTCAGGGCGTTTTATTATTGTGTCCTTATAATCATAGATGAGTTCCTTTCATATATTATCTACACATCTCTCACCACATACTTACATTCTCGTCACTTTTGTCATTTTTCGTCAGTTAATAATGAATAGCCCAAAAAATACTGTACTTTCTTCAATCTTATCTATATTTGGTAATTAGTGAAAGGTAAATAGAACTCACCATATTAATGAGCAGTGACAAAACAGAAAATCTATCTGCTCTTATTTGCATACTGCCTGAATTAACTTTAGAAGAAGTGAAGAAGCAGTCTGAGAAGATGGATTGGTTCTACTGAATATTTACTGTGAATAAAACGGAAGTTATAAATAATTCGCTTTATCTCATTCTGCTGTGAATCGTAATAACAATAATTATAATAATAAAATCATAATATAATCTGTAACTTTTGATGAAGAAAATTATGCCTGATTGGATCGTGGCATACGTAAATTGCTCAAATTCTTGTCATGAATTAAAAAAGCTTAACTGGGTTAATGGCATAATATTTTATGTATCCTCTAGTTATTATAATTCTAATTACTTTTTTTTCTCACAAATAACTGAAAAGTGCTGAAAAAGTGAAAGAAGACTGAAATAATTGTATCAATTATTGTAATGAATCGTTATTTTTTGAATTATTTTAGTTATTTAGTGTCTTCTTAGTTCATAGAATCAATTTTAGTTATTTCATTGAATATTAAATTCGGACCAAATTATTTTCTCTCAAATAACTTCATGAAGAAATTGTGGATGAATTGTTGTCACGAAACGTTTGTGAATTCAATTTTTCATTATTTTTTTTTGAGTAATTAAGTGACATTATTTTTTCAAATTTTATCACAAAACGTTTTTTGTTATAAATTGTGAGAAAGTAATGACTTTTGATTATTTAATAATTTGTATGCATATCACAGATTCGCAAGACAGTTGTACAGAACTCAAATTAAAAATTCCACAGATTAAAATGGGTCTATCAATTTTAATAATTTTGATTTATCAATTTCGATTTCATGCAGAAATATTAAATTGATATGAAAAATTCTTTAAAGTAATTTACTTTTAACATTCCAAAACTGTTCTTGCAAATTTTTCAAAATTTTCTTTAGAAGCAAATTTTTAGTTTTTCGGAAACAAACACAAAATTCTAGCATTCTCTAACATATCTTTAGCAGTTAGAAAAAACTGTTCATTAAGCTCAGTACAAAATTATTATGGGTTGTGCGTTGTGCACATTGAGATATGTTATCACAGTTTTTCAGTAAATTTTAATCAGAAATCATCATTCTCAAAAGTCATACATTGTATCATTTCCCGTTTCTCTAGTTTTTTCTTCTTGATTTCGACTGCTAAATTTAATAAATTTTCTTTTAATAAAACTGATTTATTTATGCTATACTATACTGGAATGAAGTAACATTTCGTCCCATAAGTTGTTGTGTGTAATGTTAAAATTATCACTATTGCAGTCGCTGAAAGAAATAAGTATTTTTGAAGGTAGAAATAAATGAGGACTTTTAGTGTTCTTAGAAATTACTGTAAAAGCACTATATGGCTGATTGTAAGCTATAAAGAAATATTGTTTCATAAAAGAAAAAATTAGCCTTCTTAAAAATATATTAAATTTTTGGTTCGTAAGTCCCAATAAACTTTAAAGAGTTTCCTGAACCTTAAAATTCATTACTTTTAGAGATGAATCTGGTGAATTCTGAATGCTGAATCAGTATAGAAATTGGCTATTCAAGCACTTCAGTTTTAAAATACTGTTTGAAATCTTGAACGTATTGACAGTAAGTATGAAATTCATGATTTTAGTACTCACGACGCCCCGATTTAGCAAAAATAAGTCAACAAGGATTCAATCAATATAATTCGTATTTTTCAATGATCATATTGCTTAAGTTTCGAGCCAGTATTGAAACTATTAATGTAAGCAGCTTCGCTGCATTTCATTCTAGTGTTAAGCTAAATTACAATTACAATTAATTGAAGGCAAATTTAGATGATGATTTTTTAACTGATTAATTTTTTCTGGGCATATCAATAACATTCATGTATAATATAATTCATATACAAACTAAGTTAATCAAATTTATCAGCTTCATGAATGTATCCATTGAATAATTTGCGAATAAAGTTCAGAAGCCTAATATTAAAATAATATTATTCACAGTGGTTTCTAAAAAACATACCTTACGCCTTTGGTTGAAGCATATAAATTATACTAATAAGCTCAGAAGTTTTTATATAGTTTTCAAGAAAATTTTTATTGCGTGCTTATCTCTTTGACATTAGTAATTGGTCATTAGCTACTTAATGATACTAGTAAATGAAATTAACTGACTTGCCGAGCGAAGTTTTTCATTACTACGCTGCGCTCAATTTCTTCAGCAAATAAAATCATTCTTCTTTATCAATTTTACTGATATATAGACCAGGAAGTTTACGAATTTTGATTCATCTTGAAAAGTAGTACTTATTTATATTGCTAGAAGGGATACGTTTAGTTCAGTGCTCTATTACTTATTTCATTAATAGTGAGATTCTAGCAATGATGCAGTAATATTTTCTAGCGATATCTGCTAAAGATGCTTCTTCTATGAAAGAAAGGCATGTCTTTCAAACGCTCCACACAAACAGCAATTAATGCTAGTTCTTCTAGAATTCATCTAATTAATAATGTAAATAAAGTGAGAAAAAAGCATTTTTATAGCTTTAAGTCTGATATGTCGAAGGATGCCACAAAAATTTCACTTCCTAATCTTTGCGTAATGAATGGAAGAGTGATCTGATACATTTTTTTAAACTTTTCAAATTTAGTTAAAAATTTTTGTTTTTTAAAGTGCGAAACATTTCTTTGCAATTCAAATCGAAAATATAAATTGATTGTGTTCAAAAAGAGCGGTACACAATATAGTATAGTTTGTGCAAAGTTGAAAGCGTTGATCGGTTTTTGAGAATATGTTTGTGAGGATTCTATAATCAGATTGTGTCACCAATGAGCTCGTATTTCTGCCTCTGGCAATTCTTCCAATGTTTTACTGTGATTGATTTCATACGCAATTTTCGAAAGGTTTGTGTTTGAAGCAAGCTTTTCAGCTCAAGAAAATGTCTACTCTAATGCTTGATGATTTGTCGAATTTTGAATTAATATATGTGTTTTTGCTTAGCTTTGTAACTTCTTATTCATGATCACTATTTTGTTTTGTATTAATAAAATACATTTGACCCAAAAATAAATATAATTTATTTTATTTTTACATTGCATAAAACAAAGTAGTAAGCAGAATTTTCACCTATGAAATAGCGAAATTTGTGTGACAGCTAGCTGTATAGAGAGATCAGCGCATAATTGGGTGAAATCCGTGCTTAACTTTTGAATATTACAAATCACAAAAGTAATTCATACAGTTGGCAAGAAAGCTTAAAAAATGTTTCTAGCAAACATCCTATCTAGAAATAAAAAATAAAATAAATAAACCTTGCATAATAAATTCATCCATAAGTAAAATTGCCAGAAACGAAAACGATACAAAATAATTTCAAAGCTTCTACTTTTGAATCTGTGTTAGCTTTTTCTTGTCAAACCTTTCGAAAACGTCATTAATCTCTAGCAGAAATCTGAAGTGCTGCAGAAGAGACAGAAAAGTTTAAATCGTATTAAGTCAATCGCTAAGCAAAACATCGCTAGTCACTTTTCTCTGCAGATAAAATAGTTTTGCGTTTTTGAGTACGAAAGTACAAGAATATATAATGAATTACCAGTTTGGTCATTCTGTGAAGTGATATTGAAAATGAATAATTGATTTTGACGTGTTTTGTGTCCATTTAAGTATGAACTGAAAAGAATATTTTGAGCACCTGAGATAGAAGCCATAAATAAAATAATCAGATAATAGCTTTATTTGTGTCATATTGTGAACGAAATTTGGGAATTTATAAAAATTTACGCAATATTTTCACTTTTTTAAATAAATGTTTCAGATTATGAAAAGTGAAATGAAAAGAATAAATTATTGCATCAAGTTCTACAATTAATTCACTTCCAAAGTTCTTAAATTGGTAAGGTCACATAGGTCATTAGTTTTGTTCTGATTGTTTATAAAAGATCTAATAAGGTGAAGTGTTTCGATGGCACTATAAATATACGCATATTATATTCGAGCATACAGTAATTGCTAACAATCGGTAGCAGTTTTGTTTCCAAAAACCTGAAAATTTTCTCTAACAGTCATCACTAAAGACTAAAAAAACGCACCACTGGTACATTAGCTGAAAACCAGTATTGTTCCCAGAAATCTTTGATGGTAGAAAAATTTGTATTTTTAACTGAAATCCGTAATAAGTTAGTAGTCACATAAAAACTCTCTCCTCAACTCAGATATGAAAAGAGATTAATAAATTTGAAATGTACTTTCCTTCATAATTGCAATATATCAGAATTTAAATACGAAAAATGAATCAATCTATCATCTGTTTGTTCAAATTATATTTCAATGGAAGCAAATTTTAACTTTATGCTAGTTATAAATAGTTTGCATTACTATTTTCAAGCGAAGAGCTAAAATATTTCAATATTTAGTTATGTATCTTGAAACATTTTTTGTGCTTTGTGCCATCCATACTTTGACTTTCCAAGAAATCCCATGGAAAAAGACTTATTTATTGATAGAACCATATCATAACTGATTAATTAAAGGCTTGTTAGAATCAAATCACAACTGATCAATTGAAAGCTTCTTGTAGCTGATAAAATTTCTTCTTCTAATATTTTTGCTGTTTATTCCCTAAAAGTCTACTTTTCATTCAACTATATAATTTAATATCATTGTACCTTTGTACTTGTATATTTTTTGTCATGATCTGAAAAATGCAATGATCCCTCCAAAAAAGAGTAATCCATAGATGAAAATCTCCTTTCACGGCTGACATTCGTAAACTATACATTTAATCTATCTATCAAATGAAAATGAAACTATTTTTTCCTAAGGATTTTCTTCCATAAGACGGCGATTACATGAATGAAACTGTTTTTGAGTAGCGTCTAAAAGTTGAACTATTTAATTTCACGTAGGTCAGATTTTCAAAACAAAAATCTTTATTACTATTAAGAGAAAGATTTTGTATTACTTTGTCTGAAACGCCCGCAATGACTTTTTTAATTGCTCCATTCGATACAATAGATAGTATAATAGTGTTCTTAACACCATATAAGGCAATATAGAGGTTACTCCTTCTATTTTTGATGATTCTCCCAGTAAATTGACCATAAAATCAGTCTGTATCCTTTTTATCCTTATACGAAACTTTTCAATTCTCATTTATCGTGTAATTTCAGTATTGTTCACAATAATCAAAAAAAGTTACATATGAAAAATCATTAAAAAGAACTTTGTAACGTACACTGTACCGATTGATATGGGATAAACCTTAAAGGTTGTACAAAGAAAGCAGACGATTAGTTTTATTGAATTCACAGCTTATTTGTAGCAAAAAAAGAAATGTGATATTTGTGCCAAAAACCTTCCTTTAATTTTATGTAGGCGATAAATGTTTTCACAATTTCTTCTAGTAAAAAGTTTGTCACACTGTTTTTTACTTGAAAAAATCTTAAAAGTGACCTTCAGTGACCTTTTAATCTAAAGTGCTGTCACCAATAAGAGAATATGCTTACATTCATTTCATGAGTTTGTGAGCATTATCACTATAAACTTTAAAATACATGAACATGAATGTCATCAAATTTCAGTTCGTTATTCATTCATACTTGATTTGATCTGCTTTTGTATTCACAGCAATAAAATAATGGAAAACAACAATTAAAATTTTCCAAAATTACTTGAGAAAAAGGAAAATTGATCAATGAGTGAATACTTTTTTTCAAAAAAATTAATGGATTTTATATGAAATTTTATTAACACTATAAAATATTACGAGTACTATTATTGTACGGTCAAATTACTTGCAAGTGATTTTAGTTTTTTAACTTAGTGTTCCGCTCCGCATAATAATGTGCTGATCTTTTTAACATAAAAATAGTTTTTGTTAAATGATCAGTTATAATTTTATTATTTTTACTTTATTTATTCAAAAAAAGCCAAAAATATTCACTGGTGTTTAGAGAATTACATTTTGCGAACTTGCAAAATTTTTTTCCTCAAGCTTGTGATAATGTCCGGTATGACTATTTTCGCTCTGACAAACTTTTCCTTGAAAGAATGTGCTGAATATTTAGATTATTCACTTCACATCTATCAGTTGCTAGTTAGAATCCAGCTTATAGCAAAAATAATTCTGAAATTTTTGACATTCCATCATAATCGTTCTCCAAGAAGTAAATACAAGCAGAAAAAACAGACTTCTTTTTTCTATTATTAATTATAGTTTAGTGAGTCATTTATGGAGGTACCTCTCAATACTTTGATTAATAACTGATGTAATGTACTTGAGATAATTTGTAACTCTGAAAAAATGTTTGTGATTAAAGGCTGCTTCTGACTACAGTTAATAAATATTTCGCCTATTTTGTGGATCAAAAACGCTGAAAGATTTAGTAATAGGAAATAGTTGCAATTATTTCGATCCTTTTGCAATAATTACAAATCAGTGTTACTCATAAGGAGGTAATATCTGGAAAGTATAATGATGCGTAATTTGAATTTGTATCATCTTCAGTGATGGTAATTTAATATTTGGATAATCATTCAATCATTTTGTGATATGCCTGGAAAGATTGAGTAAAAGAAACCAAAACACGGAAATACTGACATTCGATAAAATCTTAAAGTCTTCTAGCGGTTGCATTATTGTATATTTTTCGAAAGGCTGTAAGACTTTTGACATGGGAGAAGAAATAGCAAATCCATTACCATCGCCAGGAGCAGAAGATGAAGTAGAAATACCTCTTGCAGAATCTGAAAATTTATTCCATATTGCACCTACTCTTTGCAGCGAAGGTTTCATTAACTCATTTAATTATAGTAATTTACTGATAATTATCCATTAATATCCATTAGCTAGCTTGAATAAATTACTACTTTTTAATACTCCATGTCCAAGGAAATAAATACGGATATTTATGATGTAGAAAAAGTTCAAGGTTCTCCACCGTTTGGTCTTATTTATGAAAGTTTGCATTTTGACACTCATATACACCCTCCAATTTCAATTTCAATTTAATTTTATTTCGAGAAAATATAATTTCAGTTTCCACTCAAAGTTTTCATCTTTGATTTTTACACTAACCGCAAATACGATCAATAACTCAGGATTAACAATGGAAAAAGACAAATATCATGGTCAATCACTAGGTTTATTTACTAGTGGTGGTGATGTACCTGGCATGAATAGTGCTATAAGGGCTGTTGTAAGAACAAGCCTTTACTTTGGATGTCACATATACTTTATTCAAGAAGGGTATCTAGGAATGGTCCAAGGCGGTCAGTATATTAAAGAAGCGAAATGGGATTCTGTTTCAAATATTATACACAAAGGTTCATATAACTTCAGTCTTTTGATAATGCTGCAAAAACAAATTTTGCTTACAAAGTCAAGAAAATAGCACTTTTTTCATATAAAATTGCCAGCTTCAAGTAATTAGCACAAAGTCAATGGGTCATTTCTTATGAAGTGTGTATTGCTTGAAATCCATACACTTTTTAGCTGTCAAGAACGAGTTGTAAGCAAAGTAAATCGCAAAATACCACATTAATTAAAATTTTTACATAAAATGAGAAGCAGTCTAATTTCTATGAATCACTTCTCTCCAAGCAATTTTCACATTAGCTTAATTTTAAAATCTATTAAAATCTGATTTCAAATCGCTTCTTTATATTACTTTATGAATAATCTCTAAGGAATTCGTTTTAACTTTTATTAAAGAGTTCAAAGTAAGTTTTGCTTTCAACTGTAACAAATAATTAATGATTAGGTGGAACAATCATTGGTACGGCAAAATGTGACGAATTCTTGGAACGATCAGGTCGATTACAGGCAGCTAAAAATCTTGTCAAACATTCAATTAATCGATTGGTGTGTATCGGTGGAAGTGGATCATTAACGGGAGCTCACGTGCTTAGCATGGAGTGGTCTGGATTGGTTCGTGAATTAGTAGGTAAAAAAGAGATTAGCGAAAATGAAGCCAACACTTATATCACATTGCAAATCGTTGGATTAGTGGGTTCTCTCTATAATGATTTCTGTGGTACCGATATAGCGATTGGAACAGATACTGCTTTACATCGAATTGTGGAATCTGTTGATTGCATTCGATCAACAGCTCAAAGCCATCAATCTGCATGTGTTGTTGAAGTAAGTAGTTATCGTTTGCCAAAGAAATACTCGAAATTTACGTGTAAATTTTTAATGCATCTATAAATTATTTTGCAATTTCAACTTTACTGAGTACTAAAAACTCACAAACAGTTTACTATTTTAAAAATATTAGAAAATTTTGAATTATATAAAGGTCATGGGTCGAAAATGTGGTTACTTAGCACTGAGTGCAGCATTAGCTGTGGATGCGGATTTCTGCTTTATTCCCGAGTGGCCACCACCTGAAAAATGGAAAGAAATTTTGTGCAAGAAACTGAAACAAAGACGATCTGATGGTCATCGGATGAATATCGTGATAGTTGCAGAAGGTTATTGTTTGATAGATGTGAATACTTTGCAGAACCAGTTTACTAATGGTACCTGTTTTATATTGTTCATTGGGAACTTATTTTTCTTGAAAGGAAAAGTACAATATTAGAAATTTGAAATTTTTTAAGTGATGTCAACAATTCATGTCTTCAAATTGATGCAGAGAATAACTTTTTTTTAAGTAATTTTAAAAAGCTTTAATAGAAGTTTGCTTAAAAATGTTGATCGAACTATAACCTTCTACTAAGCTTTTTAAATGAAAGGAAAAAAAAATTTAAAAAAAAAATTACTTTAAAAAAAAAATTACTTGGATTAGAGTTTAACAGCAATTAAATGGTTTATATTTGGAATTTCAAAAAATGTTAGAGTAACTTTGGCAGGCGCGATTGATTCTAGTGGAGCATCAATTTCCAGTGAAGCAATCCGAGAATATATCGAAAATAAACTGCATTATGAGACAAAACTAACAGTGTTGGGTCACCTACAACGAAGCGGTAATCCATCAGCCTTTGATCGTTTGCTTGGTTGTCGAATGGGTGTTGAAGCAGTGAATGCACTAATGGAAATGAAAGAAGAATCCGAGCCACTTGTGGTTGCTATCGATGGAAATCAAATTATGCGACTGCCACTCATGCAGTGTGTGAAGAAAACAAAAGCTGTCAAGGAAGCCATGGTTAGAAAAGACTGGTCAACTGCATTAAAACTACGAGGCCGAAGTTTCCGACGTAATATTGAAATGTATCTAATAATTCTAATAGTTCATTTTTCTACGAAATCTTTAAATCAATTCAATAATTTTAACATACAAGTTATGAATAATATTTGAAATATATTTCACTTATACGAGAAACTATGTGTTGAGACATAAAAATTAATACTTCTTGCAGGTACAAAATGCTGGGCACAATCCGAAAACCTAAGGATGTGAAAACAAAAATAGCTATTGTGAATGTTGGCTCACCATCAGGTGGTATGAATGCTGCGGTAGTTGGATGCGCACGAATTGCTATTTTACAAGGATATTTGCCAGTAGGAGTGATAGAATCTGTAAATGGTTTGATTCAGGGTAAATTTGAACCGCTTGGTTGGCGTAAAGTAGCCACGTGGAGTTCAGATGGTGGTTCACATTTAGGGACGCGTAGCACACTTCCTAGCAATAAAAATATTGCTCAGATAGCAAAAAATTTTGAAAAATTTGCTATACAAGGTTTAATAATAATTGGCGGGTTTTCTGCGTTTCATATGTGTCTTTTACTGGCTCGCGCACGAAAGTCATACGAGCAATTACGTATACCAATGTGTGTTGTCCCTTGCACTATCAATAATAATATGCCAGGAACTAGTTTCACTCTTGGAGCTGACACATCTCTCAATGAAATTTGTTGCACCATTGATAAGATCAAAAAATCAGTAGTGGGTCACAAACAATATGTATTAATCGTTGAAACGATGGGAGATTATTGTGGATACTTAGCAACTTTAGCAGCTGTGATTTGTGCAGCTAATGCTGCTTACATATTTGAAGAGATATTCGATATTCAGGATCTGTTGCAAGAAATGCGAGAGATTATCACACAAACACGAAATTCTGCTCAGCAATATTTAGTAATTCGAAGCCAACGAGCCTCACCTAATTTCACCGCTGACTTCATTCGACGGTTATTTTCCGAGGAAAGTAAGGGCGTCTTTACGGCACAAGTCAATTACTTGGGACATATTCAGCAGGGTGGTAATCCATCACCCTTTGATCGTATTAATGGTTATACAATGGGTGCCAAAGTTATGACGCATCTAATTAATCAGGTTATTTTATAAAGATTATAATGTTTCGATTCTTTTTCTTTCATTTTAAATCTTGATCTAATTCTACCTGTGTATTAAATAATTGCATTTCTAAATCTGCACATGCAAAAGATTTTTCAGATATCTTTATGGAAATTTTAAATCTGAACAAATCTAAATTAGATTTGTTGTAGATGTTGGCATCTTGTTACAATTGTATTTTGGATAAATAATTATATTTATTACATCAGTGATGAATCATGCGGAAACATTTGTAGATTAAAGCATGCTCACAGGGGGAAAAATCTGATGGAACAACTGCCTCACTAATTGGTTTATTCGGACGTCGAGAAATTATGATTCCGGTAGAAGAACTTGCTGATGAAGTTGACTTTAAGCATCGCTTGCCGAAAGAACAGTGGTGGATCAGAATGAAGTCATTAATAAAGATGCTTGAACATCGAACTTAGAAAGAAGTATATGAGCGCATACAATCTTAAAGTTTGTATAAAGTGCTTTTTCCAATGCTGCTATAATAATTTATCATTTTTTTAGAACTTAGAGTTAAATTTTGAAATCGTTATTCTGTCAGGTCAAATTTCAATCATTTCTTTCTTATTTTGCTCCCAAATAATGAAGCTATCGCTTGTGAGAAGTAAAATTGTAAGGTAAGATAATTTCAGTAACCAGCAATAAAATGACAATACTCTTTAAGTTATTTGTTGATAAACACAATTTATATATATTATATTAGTATTATTAATATTGTCATGATTATTACTGCTACTGATATTTTTGAATGTTAAACTTTTCAACAATAATAAAAATTATTTTGTGCTAAAGTTGCTTTCACGCTCATAGAGTATCAGTCTTCGTCAGAGATGAACGAATTTGTTTCTTGCAGGTCATAAATACTTGAAGTTTTCATAACTATTTTTCTTATTACAAGAAGAAATAGTTTGATCTATTATTGCTTTCATGCGACATAGATAAGAAGAGAAAGAGAATTATAAACTGAAAAAAAATTGAGAAACAGAAAATTCTTATAGAAAAATATCCGAGGCGGTGATTTAACAGTGCCTACAAGAAACTCTAATTAGTAAGTCGAAAAGTAGAAAGCAGAAGGTGTTAGCATTTCTCACAATAATTCCAAATAATTCATGAGAAGAAACTTCTTTAGAAGAAACTAGCAGTTGTAAAAATTAAAGCACAGCACTCTTCATGTTTTACGTCATGCACGTAGACTGTATTGACTAGCTTTCTGGTAATTTTGCACGCTAAAAAGTGAATAATTTTGAAAAAAATTATTCGCCTTATCACTTTTTACAACTGCTAGTTTCTAGTTTTATATGTATTTTAATGAATTTTTTTCAAAATTCATTAAAATACATATAGGTAACTTGTAGTATTCTTGTTTTTATTTCATTATAATCTTTTTTAAATTCGAATTCTTCCATCGAATTTAAAACAAGAATACTCCAAGTTATTCTCTCTAAGATAAATATAATTCCCCCTTTTTTTACTATAATTTTTCTTTCACATTAATGAGATTTCAGATGATAGCACATCAACAGAAGTTATGTTTTGTACTGAGGTCCAGCTCTATTTCTTGATCGAATACTGAAATTAATATTTGAAAACATTCAATATTAATACTTGTAGTATATCTAGTATGCTATTACTGTTTTCATGTCAGTTTCAGCAGTTTGAGAGCAATTTAAAGGCTCAATCCCAACATTTAACCTCTCAATTTGTACAGTTTGTAAGGATGACGGAATGTCTCAAGAAGTAATTAAATTCTTGAGTGCAAAATTCGAATTCCTAAAGGTACAATAGAAAATTAATGTTTTCCAAGCAATATTTATAATTTTCCTTCAGAAATTCGCCTTCACACCATTGTCAATACTTATAGAAATTGGAAACGAGAAGAATCAAAGCTTGCTCGTACAAACTTTAATTGTCACCGCATTTCATAAAATGCCTAAATTTTTAGGTATTGTCAAACACCATCAGAATTTATTTAAAATTTATGAGATGAGTAAAACTAAAGTGTGATGTGTTAATGCAGTCTTATAGTGGATATTTAAGCATCAAAATATAGTATGAATATCAAAAGCAACACTTTACAGACTCATGAAATGAGATCAAATTCATCCTTAGTTTCAATTATTGGATCCATTCATTCCTTATTTTTCAGTTAGGGCTGGAGAAATATGGGTTATTGAATTTTAATAAGTTCTCACATTCTTCTTCTCTTTCACTCGTCATACTGTATGCCTTCGATATCTTTATGTCACTAGAAGATCTGGAACTTGTGTTTGCTCTACTGAACCTTAACCTCTTGAATTAGTGCTGAAAATATTGCGTCTTAACCAATCACACGTCTCAACAATTCAAAATAGTCCATCCGTTAGATTAATTATCTCTAAGAGTTACTGTTTGATGGCTATTTGCATAAATCAGTGAGAGCGCATGGTCATTCTAAGGGAAAAAGTACTGAAATAGTGAGAAGGGTGTACAACATTATTTATTAATAAATCTGCTCTTGCACTTTGACCGACGGTCATTTCATTATTTGCTTCGCAAATGTATCAGCGGAAATTTCCAGTGCATTACTGATATATTTTTGAGTGCACCTCGAAACAGTGATACCAACCGTGCAGATGGCAATGAAAAAGACATTATCTATTATGCAGATGCTAAAATAGATACTGACAGCTATTCCAGAGCTGACTGGCCGTCTGGATTTCAAATGCAGTATTTCAATTCTAGAAAATTTGCAGAAATTGAACTCCTCCTTTGTTCAAATATTATTAAACATTAAGAAAAATATATGACTATTAACTGTAAACCGAAAATGGCAGATATTTATGCCTTCTTCAAGATTTCAAAATTGCCAAAATTTCATAGTTTTTGAGTTTGCTTGTACTATTTCCTTGTAGCAGCGTCTACTTCTACAATTATGCAATGACTTTGCATGCTGCCATCTTCTGAAAATTAGTTGTTGAGATTGTGTGTGTAAGCCTCCTCAAACTATGAATTTTTATTATTAGAAGTAATCACATCAACATATTCTCAAAAACAAAACGTTGAGCATTTTGAGTACTTTTATTTTTCAAATGTTTTTTTATTCTTGAATAATGTTTGAGCCATTGTCTTCTTTAGCAAAGGTAGTTGTTGAGAGTGAAACGGCTTCTGAAATCGTTTCTAAGCTCTCATTTGATTTGTTACGATTCGCTTCTGTAGTAAAACTTTGAGTTTGCGGCACTGATTCTTCTTCAGAAGATCCACTGACTTCTTCAGAATCTGTTTCTTCCCCTACAGCATTGCTGATATCTGGTACCGTTGAGTTCTTGATGATCGAAATTATGATCTCAAATTTTGGCTTACAGAGTGGACCATATTTTGTTTTTACCAAGCAAGACATTTTTTCATAGCAGCTTGCTAATGCATTTTCAATTTCGGCAGGAAATCGGCTCTCTTCAGTAGTGCTTACATTCTACAAATGTAAAGTGTAAAGTAAAAATATCTGATAACAGATGACAAATTTTTTTAAAAGTCATTCGAATTCTGAGTGCTTAGGACTGCTTTCATGCTTGCAAAACAAAAGTTGATGGTTAGCTTAAATGAAAAAGCTAACCGAATATTCAGGAGTCGTCCCATTCCAATGGGCAGTGAAGTTATTTCCCGTCGGAAGTGCTGCGCTCCCCACAACCATTGCAAGCGCAATGAAACTGTCAAAAGATGCTACTCAACTCAAATGTAATCACTTAAAATTCATCCAAAACTTGTAACTTAATAGTACGATTACATACAAGTTGAAATCAAGTAGCAGACTTATTAAGCAGTTTAATACGAACGTTGCCTGTCAAGTTCTTTCAAAGTGATGAGTGCTTGTTTTGATTCAAATACACTTAAGGAAACTTCTGTGAGTAAAAAAAAGATGGAAAACATTGAGATATATATTTGTAGCAATCAGCTCATCTGTAATCAGTGTCAGAGCCAGCAGATCTTATAGCTGTAATATGCAACTGAGATTAAGTCGATGAGAAAGCGAGTTTCGCTCACCTGAATGTTATTGACCCTGACATGACTTTGAGTTTGCTTTTTTCACAGAAGTTGAATATCCACTTCGAAGACTCTGAAAAGTTGAAAGATAATAGAATTTTTTGAGAAAGAAAATAGAGATATAATCAAGAGAAAATCTGGAAGTAAGCAGTTATATGATACCGAATCCGAATGTTAAAAGAAATACAGAAGTTTGATAAACATGACAGTATTTGACTTAATTTTTTCTTTAAGCGACTAAAAATTAATTTTTTTGAGATCTAGACTAATCTAGTATGGATTTAGAGAACTTCACTAGCGTAACTCGAGCTAGTGAAGTTCTCTAAATCCATACTAGATTGGCTAGCACAAGCAGAAGTGACAAGTTTGGAGATGATAGGCTAGTTGATTTTCGCACATAAAGAGCGAAGTGCTAATTGTGAGGAAAGTAAGAACCATAAAATAATCTGAGTAAGTAAGCAAGAGACATTTAAGTGAAATAAGCAACTAAAATTATTACTTGAAGCAAGCAAAGTGTTGACTTGCTTGTAAAGCTAAATTTTGACTATTTAAATAGCTCCACTGATCAAAAATTAATTCAGAACAAATAGTTTTAATTTATGCGATTTATTTGCACATGAAAACATCACAGAAATAGTTGTTTTGAGTATTACAATAATTCTGACATGATCTTTGATGTCAAAACCACAGTTTTTGACTGTTTGCGCTCTACTAATGAATTAATTTTTGTGCAGCAGTTATTAGAAAAAAGCAACTAAAAATAATGGAAATTAATTTCCAAGTATTCTTTGCTCGAAGAGTTAATACAAACTTTGCTAAATACATGGGATTGCTGTCTGTTTGACGTTAGCCAGAGACAAAGGCAGAAAAAGTTATAAGGAATCTGTCATAATTCCAATTTGCAAACGTTTTATGTGCCTTGAATACATTGAATGTTTGCTAATGCTTTGAATTGGCATGCATGTGATCACTCGTCTTATATTCATCGGAATTTAATATATATATGTATATATATACATATTTGCAATATTTCAAACATATTTTATGGCATTACGCTTTTTCTGCGTACTGAATTACTAGCATTGAAAACGTGCCGTAAAAAGTTTGAATCACTCAATTCAATGACTATTGCTCGATGATTGCCAGTTACATCAAACTTCAAAATTAATATTAAGTTCTAGTAGTACGCTCGAGTTTTGAGCAAATTTCCTGAATGGATTCACGTTGTGAAGGTTTGAGTTGCGTGGCATGAAAACAAACATTAATCCGATTGCAGGAAAAGTTTTTCACTGTTCTGTATTTATTTATGCAAATTCAAGGAGCACGCGCAATATCACACGAATTCAATTACTTGTCATATGCGAGTCATCTTCACTCATATGACTTTGCAAGAATGCACATACGTGCTCATACACTTTTTTTCGATGGTTTCATGCACGTATTTAACAACAATGAATGCACCCAAAAAGCATGATAATATTGTTTACAGTCCTGTGATTTTTATCACAATTTGAATTCCGGAGCTGCAGTAGTTAAAAAAAAGCTTGAATTCTGCAGAAATTATGGAATCAGATTTCTCTGACAGAAACTGCGTGGACTGAATGCAAAATTAAAATGATTGAATTGGAAGTGAGATTATCTGATTAAGGAAGAAGTAAAGTAATGAATGTAGCAA